GGTGGCCAGTAAGCAATGCAAACTCAACCCGTCAGCAGGGTCTACCCCATGCAGACGGTCTCGCTCACTCAGGGGTGGCAGGGGAGTCCCTGTACCCTGAGCCTCTGCGGCACCAGGCAGACGGATCAGCACTGGCCAACATCTGGCAAACACGGACGGCTGACGGCCACCATCCCTGGCAGCGCACGGGTGCATGCACGGTAACGAACAGAGCCCAATGTGAGAAGCGCTGGCCAGGGAGAGCCTTGCCTAGACAGCGCATGCTGCCATCGCCTGCAAGGGCCTTCAGCAGGCAGCAGCATGCCAGAGAGGGCCCAGGGCAGTGCCTGTCCAGTGATCCAGCCCCCCCCCAAACCCACAGAGCCCGCGGGGTTTAGCCCAGCCACATTTCTGGCGGCCCCCGGGACTTTGCTCCCTGCTCCTGGCCAGGCAGGCATGTGGCAACGTTGCCCTGCCAACGCCTTGTCCACACATCTCCACCATTGCCGACCTGCCTTCACCATCACAGCTGGCCCATGGCTGTGGGACCCCCCCAGAGCCCCACCCAGGTGACTGAACCCTCTCAGGGGGGACGAGGGCAGCCCCTACCCCACAGAGGAGTTAGCACCAGGGCTGATCAGCTCAGGGATCGTCCCTGTCCCCAGATCTCTCCTCAGCGTGTGTGCTGTGGCCCCTGAGCCTGCCCCAAGGGGCAGGTGGGCACAGGCAAGGTCCTGTCACCTCGCGTATCACTGCCTGGCTCCAACACTGGCCCCCCTGCACCCACGGGGCTGGCAGAGCAGAAACAGGCCTGTGCAATACGAGCTTAATTGTCAGCTCCTGTTCGCTTCAGAATCTTGGCCTATGCATACAAGGTGCTGGTGAAAGCTCCGCTGACTGGAGGTCTGTGGGGACCCTGAACCGTTCACAATTTGTGTTCCAAGTGCCACTTTACAGCGTGTTGACTTTGTAAACAAACAAAAGCAAACCTGTCCAGACTCCCCCCGTGCAGCGCCTCTGTCCCCCAAAAGCTCTGCAGCTGCAGAGGGCCTCACGCCTGCCACGCTCCATTCTCACCCACCGCAGCATCTGAAATCACCTTTTTCCTCTGGATTATTGGTAACAAAAGCTGCAGTCACACAAAATCTGACGGCAGATTTGAGAACCTTTAACACAAATGACTCAACAGCTTAAGAAGTTCAGCAGTTTAAACCACTGTTTCAAGCACCTTGGGCTCATTCACTCTGCAGATGCTACCAGGTTAAGATTTAAGTGACAAAGCGTCCTTCATAAGTGACAGTAGTGCAGGATGACACTCCCAGGTGGGTAATGACAAGGAGTTTAGACCCAGTTTTTATGTTCCAAAGAAAAATTAAAGTCTATTTGCCTTTTAAAGGGATTCAGCATCAAAATGGAGAACAAAAAGAGCTGGGTACCATGGGAAGGAGCAGTCATCCTGAGGCCAAGCCTACAGGCAATGTGTTTTCAGCATCCTTGTTGGAAGCAAGGGGGTGACAGTAGCCATCAGGCACAGGACAGATGCCTGGCGACAGGCGGGGAGCGAGTCTATTTGTCAGCACTCTCCCAACATCAGCAAAGCACTGACAGTTTACACACCCGCTGCGAATATACCCTGAAAGCTCATCTGACTCCAGACTTGCTGGAGATGTGGCACAGCCAAACCTCCAGACGTGCAGCCGGCAGGTTTGCTCTGCAATAGCCGACACCTTTCTGAACCACAGTGTCCAGCCCCTTGCTCCCTTGGATGCTTCTCACAAGTCAGATACACCAAGGACTGCCCTGCTGCGGGGGTGGGACAGGTCCCCAGCCACCTCCCAGCATGAGGCGGCAGCCACAGGCATGGAAAGGGCCGGGAAGGACGCTTCTCTAGCGCAAGGCGGTCCAAATAATCCCGTTTCTCAACGCCAGTTTCTCCACATGCACTCTGCTGCAAAAACTGGCCGGCCTATCCAGATGTTTACATCAGATGACCTGCAGTCCCTGTACACAGCCTGCCCTGCCCGGAGGTGGGCCAGCGCCAAGAGAAAGCTCAGCCTCCCTGCCGCAACACTCCACGGGAGCTGATCCTCTGCTCCGCTGTGTACAGGGATTCAGGCCAAGGGCCTTTTGCGAGCCAAATCTCAAGTTCTCGCCTCAAACTTTTGCAGAAAGAAAGGCCAGGCTGAAGGAACACCTGCATCACTTGAAGAGACTAGTGGTGCCCAAACAAGAACCTCATGAGTGGCTACACCATGGCTGGGGAGCCAGATGGGATGTGGTGCGTTCATCCTGTCCCCCGCCTCAGGGAGCAGCAGCAGAGGAAGAGCAGAGCCCAGTGGTGATGGCCATATTGGCGCAGAAGCAAGCAGGGAACAGCGCAGGAGGGATGTGCCAGAGGAGAGGAGTGTGGCACTGAGGTGAGGGATGAGCTGGGCACAGCCAGAGTGCAGAGGCTCCCACTCACCCCCTTTTCTCTTGAAGAAGGCCTCGGGGGGGCGGGGCATGTCATGGATCACCTCGTAGAGTGGCTCAAAGTACCCAAACATCTCCTCTGTTGTCTCATCCATGGGCACCGTGTCAATGACCTGGGGAGGGACAAGGCTTGTGACGGGCACCACCGAGCACCTCACCCGCTCTCCCGTTCCCCATTACCTTTTGGGCCACCTTCTTCATCTCGGCCACATAAGCCGCCATTGCCTCCTCCTTGGACATTCTCCCCAGGCTGTGCCAGGCATCCCTGCAGGCAACGGCGGCCATGAGGCAGGAAGGAGGGGGACGAACCGAACTCGAAGTGGGTCCCCCCCGGCGGGCCTTACCACTTATACCGGCCGATGGGGTCCCAGAAACCGGGCCTTGGGCCTTGGCAACGCCCCGCCGTCGCCTGCTTGTAGTAGCTGTAGAAGCGCAGCATCTCCTCATAGGAGG